AGAAGGATTCAGTAGCCTGAAGGGTGGCTCAGACCTGCCGGCTTGGTAGCGCATTTTCTAGGCAACAAACCTACTACTCCTGTCTACAGTTTACTTCTTCCGACCGGAAGCCTCTGTTCTCGGAAGGTCAGTAGAGTAAGATTCCGAAGTGCTCCTCCGCGGACAGGTTGCCACGAAAGAAGTCCTGCCCACATCCGAGAAGAGCGAAACACCTCTCCAATTCCTGAAACCTGTACCCTCAAGCAGCAGAACGGTCGCACACCTGCGCATGTTGAGTCTTGATGTCAACTACCGGAGCACACAGCTGGAGGGCGACCTTCTGTTGCAGCTACACCACAGAATGCTCACGAGCGGCCCTGCCCTGTTGGAAAACCTCAAGCCAATAAACCGACTGCACGCCTGAAATGACATCCAGAACATTTTGAAGCTGGACTTCGCTGGCGGGTCAAACAAGGTCCGATGAATCTCTCGCAGCACTGCGCGATGCACAATCGCGTGCAAAAGCTGGGCCCCGACCGTTGCGAGATTTGGTTCATGTGTGTTTGTCTGTCACCCCTTCTTGAGAATGGGATACAAAAGCTTGAAAAAACCGTCCTGTCCGCAAGCAACTTTGTCCATAGTGTATTTGGATCGGGGTGCCGGGATCCAACTTGCAGGGCCCAAAGAAGCGGTCATAAGATAAGTAAAACGGAGTGAGACCTGGACAGTAGCCGCCCTCTGGTGGAAAACTGCTTCCACTCCAGTTTTGGCGGCCTTCTAGAAATATGTTCCCACCACGATGCTCCAAGGTGGTACTGGGAGACTGGATCAACCTCAATCTCCGGACTCGAAGCATGTCACCCAACTTTGCCCTTGAGCCCTGCATCAACCAGAAAACCCCATGGGCTTAGTTGGTCAGTGCCCCATTGCCATTTCTACGTGTGCTTGGACCAAGACAGGGTAGACAAATGTGCTGTGCGGCCATGGCCACGGCGGAGGCGTCATCGCCTGTGTCTCGATGTGCCGAAGATCTGCAAACCAGTGTGCCGCCTTGCAGGCAGTGCCTCCAAGAAGCGGAAGGAGTCGGCTCCGAATCTGCTTTTGAGAACTTGGGGAAGTGGTGTATGGAAGGGACCAGCGCTTTGAAAACTTTGCTAGGCGAGCCAGGCATGTGTGACCACGTCCAACCATCACAGAAACTTGACGCAAGATTCTGTAAGCGTAGGCGGAAACATCTCCTCACCCCATCCCCTGAAACGACAAAGCATGTGCCACGTCGCCACGAAGCAAAGCCGAAACAAATGTACTAAATGGTTCGGCTGTTGGGTCGGAGCAAGACTGCCCACGGTGATGCACACTAATTACGACGATTTCTGTTTCTCTGTGTCTCTCTTCGTTTCTTTCTACAGGTCTAGGGGGAGATATCCTCCCGTGCAAGTGCGCAACACTTCCAACCCCCCTCCCTCCCTCTAATGTGTCTCTGTGTGTGTGTGTGGAAATTCTGTTTCCAAGAGCATTGAGCTGGATGATTTTTAATCTTGGCCTCAAGCCGACCTGCAGCATCAAGAAAATTGTCGACAACCGGCCTCGACCGGGATCTACATGTGTTTACCTTCTGGTAATTCTGTCAACGGGCCAGTCGTGATGGGCGTTGCGCCCCGCAAAGCATACTCAATGAAGCATACCCAACAATCAAAAGCTGATTACATTCTGTTATTACACCAAACCACTTTCCAAACACCCTGAATCCTGAAAGGCTAACGCATCCCCAGCACACCCAGTTCCACAAACACCCAAGCATCTTTGACATTGTTTTGGTGTGTCGGAATCTTCGCCAGGCTTACCCAATTTTCTCCAACAATGACGCAAGTATACCCAATACCCAACACAAGTTTGAGTCTTCGACGCTGGTCCAATTATGATGTCTACCCAACAAGCACCCAAGAAGACGAGTATCGCCACCCAAGAAGCACCCAAGAAGACGTGTATCGCCACACAAGAAGCACCCAACGTTTCGTCGTTGTGCGAGTTCGAGTACGGGTTAAGATTTGGTTTTCTTGGGTGGTTTCTTGTGGGTTTTGGTTCTGTTCAAGTTGCAACGGTTGCTAGTTGTTCTGTTTCATGCGCATTTTTACCGTTAGCTTGGCGCTGACAGTGGAATCGTATCGCCACCCAAGAAGCACCCAACGTGTCGTCGTCGTGCGGAGTTTGGTTGCTTGTCAGGGTTTGGGTTTCGCGGGTTTTTGCGTGGGTTCGTCGCCATTTCTTGAATTCTTGTTGTCTTTGGGTTTCGGTTTCTCAATTTGCCACTGTTGCTAGTCGTTGTCGGGTTGCCACCCCCGTGCACCTATTCTATACCGGCAATCCGGAACTAATATGGGCAATTATTGCTAATGCGCTGCCGGCATGAGCTTCTGACATGAGTGTAACATTTGGCGGCTAATGCAAGGGCAATTGCACAGGTCTACCTCCACTATTTTGTCCTTATTCTCTCCCTCCTTTCCTCAATGATTGCAAGGGCATACACATCTGACATCAGGGCAGACGAGGTAACATGATCTGCTAATGCATCGCTTCTTCGGAAGCAGAAAGAATCAATCGGCATTTCTCTTATGCCTGCCTCTCTCTTCCCACCCAAGACGAACAGTTGACAGCCGATTACTTTGCAGCCGACCCACAGCGGGGCTGTGTGTCTGTGTGTGTGTGAACTGCCCTGGCACATGGGAATAGAGGGTCACTCCTTTCATTACAACAGGGGACCAGGAGGGGTGGGGAGGCGGTCCTGGTCAACGAAGACCCCCCTCCCCAACCACGTGAAAACGTACCTGCTTGTATCTGCGCTGGGCCCCAGCGCGGGCAGCTGGGGGATACACTGACTTTCATTTTCATCCCATGGGTTGCCATTCCTGGTGTCTGACACAGCGAGGGCATGACCCATACCCGGCCATACCCCAACGGATCATCTCACCTGGCTTTGCGCGCCATTCCTTTGGTTGGCATACATGGCACCAAAAATTCATTTCATTTTCATTAAAATCCCCACCATCAACATCATTATGTTTCATTCAACAACAACCCCCACACCCTCCTTTGCCTTTCCTGCCCTCTTCCCTGTGTGTGTGTGTGTTATTGTGTGGCTGCATGGCAGTTAAAGCAGTTTTGCTTTAGAGATTCCTTTTAATGCTTCCTTGTCAATTTCTTCGTGCATGTGCATGAGGCCACGTCAGGCACGTACCAGTGGCGTGCGACCCTGGATGTAAAGCTCCTGGATTCTCTACTGCTTTGCGGCTCTGCACCTGTGGTCTTCGTTGATGCATCGCCCAACATAACTTCGAAAGTTGCAAGACCTGAATGCACATCTATCAAAGCCGGCCTTGAGCTCTTCTATTCCCTGCAGAAGGCCTGCAATCCGTAAGCCCAATGGTAATGGTCGTAGTGGCATCAACAGAAGCCGCAATGGTAGTGGTAGAGTAGTGGTAGTGATAGTGGTGTTGCAGCAGCAGCAGCAGCACAGCCGTTGGTTTGGTTTTCCACCCAAGGCCTCGGGAAGCCCTGCCTGGAGCGATCCTAGGGAGGCGACGGAGCCACAGCGCCCAGAGCCTCGATCTGGATTTTGGACAGACAGAAGGCCAATTGACAACCCACGACACAGGCTTTGGCCCTACACCTGTAGCTTGAGTTATAATTTCGTCTTCTGTCAAGTTTATGGTGCGTGGGGCTTACAAAGGTTGCTATTTTTGTTTGTTCTTTGTTATTTGTTGTTTGTTGTGTATTCTTTGTTGTTCGTTGTTTGTTGTCTGTTGCTTGCTGTTTATTGGTTGTTGGTTGTTGGTTGCTGTTTGTTGTTTGTTGCTTGTTGTTGTTGTTGTTGCTGCTGCTGCTGCTGCTGCGTCTGTTGTTGTGGCTGTTTCTGTTGCCGTTGCCGTTGCTGTTGCTAATGCTGCTGCTGTTGGTGTTGTTGTTGTTGTTGTTGCTGCTGCTCGTGTTGTTGCTGTTGTCATTGTTGCTGCTGCTTGCTGCTGTTGCTGCTTGCTATTGTTGCTTGTTGTTTGTTTCTTGTTGTTTATCCCTTTTTCTTTGATGTGTGTGGTTTGTTCTTTATTATGTGTTGTTGTCGTTGTTGTTGTCGTTGTTGTTGTTGTTGCTGTTGCTGCTGCTGCTGCTGCTGCTGCTGCTGCTGCTGCGGCGGCTGCGGCTGCGGCTGCGGCTGCGGCTGCGGCTGCGGCTGTGGCTGCGGCTGCGGCTGCGGCTGCGGCTGTGCTGCTGCTGCCGCCGCTGCCGCTGCCGATATCGATGCGAATGCTGATGATGCTGATGCTGAAGATGCTGATGCTGCTGCTGACGATGATGATAAAGATAGAAATGATGATGGCGATGGTGGAGAAGATGATGACATGATGACGCTTATGATGCTGATGATGATGATGATGATGACGATGATGATCATGATGATGATGATGGTGATGAAGATGATGATGGTGATGATGATGATGGTGGTGGTGATGATGATGATGGCGACGATGATGACGATGACGATGATGACGATAGCGATGATGACGATGGCGATGATAGTGATGGTGATGGTGATGATGATGATGATGATGGTGATGATGATGATGGTGATGGTGATGGTGATGGTGATGGTGACAGTGACAGTGACGGTGATCATGATGGTGATGGTGATGGTGACGATGACCGTGATGATGATGGTGATGGTGATGATGATGATGATGATGATTATGATTATGATTATGATGATGATGCTGATGATGGTAATGATGATGATGCCGATAATGAGGAGGGGACGAAGATACGGATGAGGAGAGGAGGAGCTTGTCATTCTTAACTAGCAACTCACAGTGGCTGCTCTGAAACTAACCCGGTCTTGCCATCGATAAGGCCCACTAGAGCCGAACACAACAAAAATCAGCTTTCGCCGAGCCCGAGCGATGTAAATCATCCTTGTCTTACTCAGTCTTCGTGGAGTGATGACAAACAGCTCTGTCAGAGTGCCAAACAGATCAACCCTCGGCCAATGCTTCCTTCCTGCCGTTGAAGACCACCGACTTTGCGAGTTTGCCCCGCGCGATCTTGCTGATGGCTTTCTTCTTCATTGCCTCGCGACTTGCGGACCCCTCCCCGTCCCAAACAAAGACACGAAATATCGGAAACCACATCTTCGCGAGACATCCGGCCGTGTGCTTTCCAATTGATCGGTTAGCTTAAGATTCAGGGTTTGGGACTTCGAAAAAATTCGAACCTTTGAGTGCTCTGACAGTGCTCTCATCGGCTCGGCCTTCATCGGCTTGGCCTTCATGGCCTTGGCCTTCATGGCGCCCTTCGTTGCCTTCAGGGCTTGGGACGGGCTTGGGATTTCCGAGCGCTTTGAGAGCCGGTTTAAGTTCCTTTGTTGTGGTAACGGGTTCACAGGTCGTGCAGCAGTGTCAGTGTGCAGCTTCGGCGTTTTTTCCATGCTCCACTGCTCCACTCTTCTTCACTTCCTGACCTTCTTCATGGTCTTCATCGGGAGAGCCATGGCTTTGAAGCAGGGCAGGTTGCGATGGGCGTCTGAGCACGTGATGGACTGCAACGTAAAACCTGATGATAGGGGCGATAGGGTAACCTGATGAGCACACGCTGCACACCAAGACCCTTTCAATGCTGCCAATACGGAGCCCCCAAGTTCGACAACTCCGGGCTCTGCGCGTTGTGAGCTGAGGGTTCATGGAATGATATAGGGGCGCGGTAGGGCATGGTAGGGCTTTTGGGGGTATGCTATGGTATCTGTTACGGAACGCCAAAAAAAGTGTCGGTTAAGCCCCTGCATTATAAAAGGATTCCGGCTTCTGTACTGTCAACCGGCTGATGCCCGTGAGGTGTGCTTTCCCATTTGCACACAAATTTTCATGACCAAAGTACACAGACCTCTTCGGCTTGAAGCTCAACTTGACTTAAGCTGCCGTCACTATCGTTGCGAGCTCTTTCCGCTATTTCCAATCAAGGGAAGGCCCTAATCAATTCGAGGCCTTTACTAACGCCAAATCGCGAGCCCTTCGCGGCACTTTATGGTTTTAGGGATCGGGGCTCCTCAGGCTTTCAGGGAAACCAGGACAACAGAGACCTGGACCTGAAACCCAAAGCAAAACCCCGACAAGAGCCCTATAAACCGAACACTAAGCCTACACCGCCACAACGATACCCCCCGAGCCCTTCATTGGATCAGAGGCCCCCGGCCCACTCGGCTGATGGGGGAGCTCGTAGGGCTCCTTGGAGGCGATCGGGGCTCAGGGTTCTGGCGACGGGGGCCTGGGCAAAAGACAACAAGAAGCAAGACCCTGCTGATTGCTGTGTTTCTCCAGCTGCAGACATGACGAGGTACTAGTATTCCAAGTGTTGGAACTCACCACGGCTTCGCTGGTCTGGAAGTACACCAGGTTCTGGAATGAGCCAGTGGTGCTTCCAGGACGTCATAGTCCCAGCAAAACTGATGCAGCCAGACCCACCGCATTGGGCGGACCGGTGCCTTCAACTGCGAATTAGCACAGCCTGCTCAGATCGAGCCCACTGCAAGCCTTCATCTTCGGGCGGCAGGCTGACTTGACGCAGTGCGTGCGAGCGGGATCCTTGTCGTTCGTGATGCCTGCAGCAGCACACGACTGTGCGCAATCGGGCTTCTTACAGATCAGGTTTGACCGGAAGGTTGCGATTTTACTCGAACCGCAACCGAGATGCACTGGTTCATGCAGTGGTCCCTCGAACAACCCATGCACAGCTGCCCGAGTAGCCCTTTTTCAGCAGGCAGTCCTTCAATCGTCAGCTGCTTTTGAAACCGTCTTCGCATGGGCTGAAGCCACATGCCGCAAGCATGCTCTCCAGCAATCACGAACAATCGACAACACCCCCATAGGCCACGTTACCAGAGATATCCAATTCCCAAACTGTTTGCACTCGGTTCTTCCGTCCCAGAGCGACATGCTGTCCTTGGTGTATGCGAAGCCAGCACCGGTGCAGCCACCGCCCTCGACCTCAGCCTCAGCCTCTTCTTCAGCTTCCTCCTCCATCTGCACGGCTTCCTCCTCCTCTTCCTGTGAGTCCATCCTCCAAAGCCTCCAGGTAGTTGACCTTCATGCCGCGCAGCTGGTGGAGCTCCAGGCTGCAATCCTGCCATTCGCACACGTCATCCGATGCCAAGGCGGAAGCCACACCTCAATGCTCAGGAACACGAACAGAGCTCGGAAAGCCATGGCCGGTAAGCGTGAGAACACAAGAAGCGCTTTGGAATTGCTCAAAGCAAAAGTCAGGCTCGCCGGATCTCACTGCTGAGCATACTCGCTAGTGCTACACGCAGCTAGAGCACTCTGCAAGGACAGTTACAGAGAGATCCGACAGAATGCACCTCGGAGAGAGTCAAGTCGGCTGACCATCTGTCAAACCGCCACCAGCACCAACAACAGCAACAAAACTAACCGCCATCTCAACAAGAGGGCTAACAGTTCCCGCAACGCCGCGAAAGAAGTGAATACAGGCGTTTTGCATGGAGAAGGGTTTTTGCGTTGCAGTTTGCAGGGCCTTTGTTGTTTTGTAAGATTCACTTGATTAGGGCCCGACCCGTGTGTGAGTCCAGAAACTAACCTTGCTGCCGCAAGCCAGAAAACACACACAGACGTACTCACCAAACCAACAACCGTAAACAAGCACCAAGCAGCAGAGCTGAAAAGCAGCAACAAATAGCCCACGAGCAGCTGACAAACAGTCAACAAAAGCCTACAGGCTAGATAAGCTTTACGGCGCTACGTACCTGGAATCGTCGTATGCCAGTAGTGGCACCGAGGAAGATATATCCCTTCCTGTCCCCCACTTCCCAGTGCTGACCTGACACTCCGCATGAACCTCGCTACAATAGCTGCCAACAGCTCAGTGATTTTGCACGCACGAACCCCATGAAACACGAAAAACAACACTGCTTCTCAATCCCCCGCCCGCGATTTCACATCGAGAAGTTACCATGATGTTTCGCAAGGGGAGCAGAACTTCTAAGAAGTCCAGAATCTGCCATACCTTTCGCAGAGTCAAGAGAAACAAGAAGCAGCAGCAACAACAACAGCGGCGGCAAGCTCGTATAAACGCCCTGACCCTCACTGTCAGAATCGTCATCATCGCCATCATCATCAGCCCTATTTCCTTGCTCAGGGACTTAAGTCTGACTCCGTGGTCTTGGTTTTGCCAGGAAGCGGCTAATCCGAGGCTTATCGTTTCGGGGTCGGGATTGAGGGCATTTAGGGTTCAGAGTTCCCTCTGACCATTACCCAGCTTCCCATAACGATAACACTAAACATTCAACAAGAAACGCGTGGAGAGTGAAGCATAAACTACCTAATCAGCCCGCCCCCCAAGGCGCAGGCGTAGAGACACGGAAGGTCGGATTCACTCTTTGTCCCATGGACCTGCGACGTCCACGTGACAAGTGTAGGGTAACCGGGAGGGTTGTAAACCTGTAAGAAGCATCATAAACGCACTATAAAGAACTATAGGGGTACCGAAAAAGGTACTGCTATTGGTATTTGATCTTCTGTTCCAGGGCATGCCCGCTGAGCGATTATCGGATCATTAGGGTCCCAAGCTTCGGGGGGAGAGATCTGCGAACTGTTGAGACCCCCCACCAGTCCCAGAACAGAACTGGGAACAGTGCTCCCTGAAATTCCGAGACAACTAGCATACATTTGCCCCAGAATCCTCCTGGCAAGAGCAACACCTGCGGCGACCCCATGTCTCTGCCAAGGGGCGCGACGAGCCCGCAGCTTCGGCGAGCTCTCGACCAGCCTTTGCCGAGGACAAATCCACGACATCTACAGCTATGGCCACCTCAGAGCCATAGAAAAATAACGAACGGTCTGTGAAGAAACGGCGATGTGCCAGGAAGGAAAGCAGCAGTGAGCGACACTGCCCACGATCCTAGTCATGCTGCCGGCACTAACATTTCAACAAGAGAACATGCGGACCCATGATGATACCGACGGCAATCCCAATGTCTGGCCAACATCGTACCAGGTCAATCTTAGGAGGAGTGGTGGTGGTGGCGGCGGCGATGGCGAGGGCAACCGTGGAACGATGCTGACATGAGTGATGTAGCTAAAGGCGAAAGCAATAGTTGCTGTTTTGGTCGTAGAGACTCACTAGTCCGGCAACTCTGGCTGGGGCGTGGGAGAGCGCAAGAGGAACTTGCAGGCGGGCTCAGGAAGGCAGGGTTGACCCATTTCTAAACAGCCAACGAAACCGAAAGAAAAAAGAAACCTACATGCGAACCTGGGCCTCTGACCCGATACTGACAACAAAAACAGCTTAGGGGTCAAGGTATCTCAAAACCTTGCGTGTGCACCCTGAAATCAAGCGTCTGTGTGTTTCTGCGGGGGTGCTGGTACAACAGATCAACAATGCGGACAACAGCCCGAGCCCTCTGCAGTAGGCAGGGCCTGCAGTTCTAAAACAGTGTACTTGTGGAGCCCAACTCTGGTTTGGCAGTGAAGATGTATGGTTTAAGGTTCAACCGACATTGCACTTCTGAGGCAAAGGCTCTAGAAAGGAGTTCTTCACCACCAGGCGGGCCGTACACGTCCTTGGTGAATGAAATTCAAGCGGTGCTTCCGCTCTAATGGAATTCGGAGATAGGAGGTTCGGGATCCTACAACCAGAGTCAAGAAATCGGGACGAGTTGACACTTCGGATGCTGCAGAAAACGGCAAGCACTCGCTAGAGTCGTCGTCATCGTCATCGTCATCGTCATCGTCATCATCATCATCATCATCGTCATCACCATCATCATCATTGTCATCGTCATCCTCATCATCACCATCATCATCACCATCATCAATTATGTGCTTCGATCATGGAAAAAACTTGTGCTTGGATCCACGGAATCCAAGGACCTTCCCTTTTGTCCTTTTGTCAAAAAGTGCATGCTGCAGTACGTTGGCCCCATGCACAGCCTACTCTCTGAATCTGCTCACTTTTACATTTCACTTTCACCCATTCTGGCCTACCGGCCATACGTGGCTACAGCCTAGCCCATCCACACTGCCCGACCCCAGACACACATGCAAACCAAGTCTCAGCGGAGCCAGCAGATGCTAAGGCCAGCAAATGGAACTTCGCTAAACTTAACAGGGGGCACAATGCAAACCGGAGAAAAAGGCTTGGCACCCGCACTGCAGCGTGTCCGGCCCAAGTGGGTTTGCCTTGTTTGCCTTGATCGGGGACTCCTGAGCCTGCGAAGGGGAAGGAGTTCCGAAGCTGGGTGCTTTGGGGTTGATGCTGGCGGCTTCACTTAGCATTCAGTGATCGTCGGGTTTAGGATTTAGGGTTTGATGTGGTGTCGGTGTCAAGGAAGAGTCCCAATCCCAGAAGCGCTGTATCGAGGACCCGCAGAAAGCCAAGTAATTATCCCGCAAGGAAACTCAAGGCTCCCAAGACCTTTCTGGGCCCAAGGCCTTAGTTTTGGGTTTCGCCTCCTCAGGCTCTAGGCCTCTAGGCTGCGAAGTTCCTCCAACTCAAGGCACAAGCCTTCCTCGGGCTACAGCCACGCGCGGCTACGGAGCCCCGAATCCCACCCCGTAGCTTGCCTAAACAACTCTGCCACAACCCCGGCGACTGTCATGCCAGGTGCGACACCCAAGCCTGCTCGTTCTCTACACACACAGACACGCACGCACACACAGAGACAGACACACACACACACAGACACTGACAGACACACAAACACATTAAGTAAGTTTTTGATAGTAACAAATTAAAGGACCGGACCGGATAACGGGTGGAGATTTTTTCTTCCCGTTTTGTTTTCTTCTTTTTTTGGTCCGGAACTGCCCTGTTTGATGGCTTTAAGGGGTTTTCAAAAGTTTTAAAACGCAGCGCCCCCTGTTTGCCAACATACTGCTTGCATCGTCAATGGCGGAATTTCTAAGACTCTTATTATACATGGTGAGCTTCAAAAACGACTCAGAGACTGTTGAGCAAACTTGCACACGGCTCAAAACAAGGGAGTTGGGGGACGCCCCCATTTCCAAACACAATGCTCGCATGGTTGGTTTCAAAAGCACTCATATGCTGTCAAGCAAGCTTGCACAAGCGGCGGGGTTGGGGGGCGCAGCAGCCCCCCATTCGCAAACACACCACTCGCATGGTGAATGGCGGGGGTTTCAAAACGAGTCAGATTAGCTTAACGCAACATTATCTCACCACAACCGTCCCCACCGCCGTCATTGTCATCTTCATCTTCAGGTACATCTTCATCGCCATCATCAGCATGTGTATGTAAGCATGCAGGAATACATGTATGTATATACCATGGATGTGATCTAAGCCTCTTCCAGCTGATCCCCGAAGCCCGAATGTGTCTGTATCCAAACTGTTGAGCAGCTTGTATGGCATGGTCGAGGACACCAAAGCCACGACGGAGCCCCGGGACCTGGTAGCGCATGGTGAGTGGCGGGGTTTCAAAAACGACTCATATGTTTTCAAGCACGGCTTAAAACAGTGGGGGCCCCTCCATTTGCAAACGCAATGCTCGCATGGTCCCAGGGTTGGTTTCAAAGTAATCTCATATGCTGTCAAGCAAGCTTGCACACGTGGGGGGTTGGTGGGGTGAGGCCCCCCCTTTTGCAAACACAATGCTGGCATGGTTGGGTTCAAAAAAAACTCATATGCTGTCAAGCAAGCTTGCAGAAGCAGGGGGTTGGTGGGGCGCGGCCCCCTGTTTGCAAACATACTGCTCGCATGGTGCAGGGGGGTTTCAAAAAAGACTCATATTACGCATGGCCGGTTTCAATAACGACCCAAAGGCTGTCAAGCAAGCTTGCACATGGCTTAAGACAGCAGGGTGGGGGCCCCCCCCCATTCGCATGGTTGGTTTCAAAAGCACTCATATGCTGTCAAGCTTCAAGCTTGCACAAGCAGGGGGGTTGAGGGGCGCAGCAGCCCCCCATTTGCAAACACACCGCTCGCATGGTGAATGGCGGGGTTTCAAAACGAGTCAGATTAGCTTAACGCATCATTATCTCACTACAACCGTCCTCACCGCCGTCATTGTCATCTTCATCTTCAGGTACATCTTCATCGCTATCATCAGCATGTGTATGTAAGCATGCATGAATACATGTATGTATATGCCATGGATGTGATCTAAGCCTCTTCCAGCTGATCCCCGAAGCCCGAATGTGTCTGTATCCAAACTGTTGAGCAGCTTGTATGGCATGGTCGAGGACACCAAAGTCACAACGGAGCCCCGGGACCTGGTAGCGCATGGTGAGCGGCGGGGTTTCACAAAAGACTCATATGTTTTCTTTCAGGCACGGCTTAAAACAGCGGGGGCCCTCCATTTGCAAACGCAATGCTCGCTTGGTCCCATGGTTGGTTTCAAAAGAAAACTCATGCACGGAACCGGAGGACCAAAGGACAAAAGGACCAGAAGACCAGAAGACCAGAGGACCCAAGGACCCAAGGACGGGAGGACCAGAGGACAAGAAGACCAGAGGACCCAAGGACCAGAGGATCAGAGACCAGAGGACCAGAGGACCCAAGGACCAGAGGACCGGAAGACCGGAGGACCAAAGGACCAGAGGACCAGAAGATCAGAGGACCAGAGGACCCAAGGACCAGAGGATCAGAGGACCAAAGGACCAGAGGACCGGAAGATCAGAGGGGGCAGGGGGGAGGGGGGCAAACAAAAAAGGGAAAGTAAAAGAGGAAAAGCAAATAACCCTCCCCGGATAACCCCACATGACAATTTTACTCGTGTGCCAACTGAGTCAAAGGAATCATGACAGCGAAACGTGTCTGTCTGTGTGTCTGTGTGTCTGTATGTCTGTGTGTCTGTGTGCTGTGTGTCTATGTGTCTGTGTGTCTGTGTGTCCGTGTGTCCGTGTGTCTTTGTGTCCGTGTGTCCGTGTGTCTGTGTGTCTGTGCGTGTCTGTGTGTGTCTCTGGGTGTCTCTGGGCGTCTCTGGGGTGTCTCTGGGTGTCTCTGGGTGTCTCTGGGTGTCTCTGGGTGTCTCTGGGTGTCTCTGGGTGCCTCTGGGCGTGTCTGCGTGTCTGTGCATGCGTGCGTGGCGTGGCGTGGCGTGGCGTGGCGTGGCGTGGCGTGGCGTGGCGTGGCGTGGCGTGGCGTGGGGTGGCGTGGGGTTGCGTGCGTGGGGTTGCGTGCGTGGGGTTG